TTTTTTTAACCATTAATCATGTTAGACATGGTATCCGTAATAAAAAGCACTATTTCTAACAGTTCACAGTTGTGAGGTGATCATTTGTAAATAAAAGTACATGGAAATGGGGGTGGGACAACCTTTTTGACCAATGCTGTATAAAACTGTGTAGACCGTTCCGTTTGACACAATAATCTGTCTGGCAATGTCTGTGTTTTTCGCGCCATTCTGGCACAGCTTAACAGTTTTGTAAAACGCTGCTTAACTCATTTACGCACTGCAAAACCGACCGCTGGCATGCAAAATTTCAAATTCTTCTATGCAGTATTTGCCGACATATGGATACTTTTTTGACAGAACCATCCTTCGCCAAAGCCAAACTTTGACTAGCCCAAAGGAACACTGCCCAATTAAATTACTGCATATTACACAAGGCAGCAGTGCAACAGACTTGGTAGTCAGTTAATTGGCAGCGACACACCTGACTTTACACTTCTCCAGTCAGATGTCTTATATGAAAGCGGAATTTCTTTTTAAAAGAATGCATTTTACCTAGGTATACCTTCAAAACTGAAATATTCCATATTAAATGTCAAGTCTGTATATATATATATATATATATATATATATATATATATAGCATTCTTCATATATATATATAATTTTAAAGTTATTATCGTTAAGAGTATTTGCCAGAGCTAAAATTCTGTTTTGATGTAGATCGCTCGCCTAGAGACACGATACATTTAATTTGGAACGAACCTGGTATGTGTACTACCGAAAATCAGCATTCTTCAACTTTTCATAATGAATTCATGCTGTGCATCCACAAGTATGATTGCAAAATTTTCATATCAACATTAAAGTGTGTCACCTGAAGGTATTCATCTGTCTAAATTATCGGGGGATCCAGGGTTTGGGTGGGGTTGGACGGGGGGGGGGGGCGTAAACAAGCTTTGTTTTTCTTTTCTTGGCAAAAATGAAACAGTATAAGAGGAGAACTTTACTAAATTAGTAAGTAGAACACATGGATTGCAGATTCCTTTTAAGAAGGGGAAGGGGGAGAGGAGTTTCCTCCGAAACTGAGAACGAGAATGAGGAAGAGCCTGGGTCCGCCATTAAAAGTAAATGGCTTTTTTTACATTGCTCACTTTTTTCATCTGTTTTTTTTTCTCTTTTAATAAGCAATGCTCCTGTCCATGGAGACGACGTTCCCCTATTACAGACAATTCGAAAAGCAACCAGTGGAACAACGACCTCACGCCGACGTGAAAGGTATTTGTGCCGATATGGAAGACAATATCAAAGCTTATATCAAATTAAAATCAAAATTTCCGGACAGAATTCAAGATCTCCGTTACGAAGACATGGTGCAAGAACCAATGGCCAAAGCGGTAGAGGTTTACAAATTTCTTGGGCAACCGATGCCTTGGGTGGTTCAAGACTGGGTTCGGAACAGCACCTCGTCCAATGTTGACAACGGTCCCTATGGGACATCCCGCGTGGACCCAGTTCGGACTGCTTACAAATGGATACCCTCCATCATGCCCAAGTTTGCTGAGATGATCGACGCGGAATGCAAAATGCCGATCCAACATTATGGATATGGAAATTTCTTTGAATTGAAATTGAAATACGATCTCCCTGACAGTTACAGGACTGAAAAGCTGCATTTTTGACAGATATTGATAGATATGAGTCATATGACATTCTATCATTATGCCCACCATGCGCTCGCATAAGCACAATCCTGCGTCATTTGATATTAAGTATGTGTAGAAGAGTGTTTTACACCGAAACATACTGCACAAATAACTCTTCACTTGCATCTCTCTGTTATTTGAGGTCAGTCAACTTCGGTTTTATTGCTCAGTATAGTTTTATCACAAAGTTATGGTCACTTTATGGGCCTACGGAATATAATCTATACACAGTAATGCAAATAATATGATGTCCCATTTAGTAACTAGTGAGTGATTCTCTCTCTCTTTCTCTCTCTCCGACTGTGTGTGTACGTGTGCGTGTGCGTGTGAATGCGTGTACTGAAATGTCTCGTTCTAGAGGCATCACCATCCCTTTAATCAACTATATTAGTAATTAAGTCTCGTTTTAATCACTGGGTTGATTCAATAAAGAAGAATGTAAACCAGAAATGCGGTGCATTGTTTGTCATTCGATATGTTAATTTTTCAATTCAAGGAATTCACTCTGCTGGGCATTTTTTAAGCATAAATGAATATGGAAACGACATCCATAAACCCATGTCATTAACACGTAACTAAATTTGGCTTATTTAAAACACGCAAGCTATATTTATCGAGGTAGAACAAATTATATGTCCAATACGTACAGGTTGCTAGCTCTTGTGTAGAGATGATTCACATCCCCAGAAATGCACTGACGTCACGTGACGTGACGTGACATTACGTCACGCCTAGCCCACTGCGCATGCGTGCATTTTTAATGCCAGATCGCCATAGGAAAATGAATGGGTTCGCGATTCGTAGGTAATTCGTGAGAATTGACAAACTAACGGCCTGATGCCGATAGACAGCAACGCTGTGATATGCTTCAAGCAACTCCTAACCAAATATCGCTAGGGTTTTTAAAAAAATTCTGTTGTACACACGTACTAAGAAGTTTGCCGTATATTGCCTAAACTACCCTCAGCAAAACGCAAATATTTTCAGTAATAGTGATTTTAGACGGTAGATTCACTCAGAAACAAAGGGAAATTAATTCTTT